GGGAATCAGTGTAAAAATTTTTTACAGATATTAAAATCTGTAAATTAGAATATCTGATTCTATATTCTTTCTACATTAAAGGAGCGTTCATTTCGTTCGTTTATCATAAAAAATGTAGAAATCACACCATTTTTAGAAACATGCTTACAATTTCATTGCTCTAGAAGGGCGGGCATTTAAATAAACTCCGTCCAGCTGCCCCTACCGGAAATTAAATGGCCCGTCCGATAAAGGTTAAATGAAATGCATGTTGTTCCTCTTTCTGTGCCACATGTATTGTCTCTTCTGGTATGCCTTTTTTTGCCTGTGAAGTGTGCAGTGTGTCGTTATGAATTTTAACTCTTGATATTGTTGCATGCTGGATATTAAACACATGAAAATAAATTCTAATACCAACTGCAACACGATGCTTTTGTATGATATAACAAGTTGAATATGCCTGTTTGCTTTACAGCCCTCTCGTCCAGTGAGACAGCCCCCTTGTGTGAGATATGACATTCCATAGCACTGAAAATTACGGTTGAGGGCTTGTGGATCATGACTCTTGCAGCCTCTGTGTTCAAAATGGAAAGGCAGATGTAGACAGTGTGATCCCCTGAAACATCTTACTTTATGTACTAGACCTGAAGACCACATGTGCTACTCTGACACAGGCCACTTACTTCATTTCCTTTTATTAAACATGGTTGGGAGGTCATGGGTTAAAATTTAAAATCTCAGCCAGGAGTTGGACTGCCCTGACAGGTTTTTATGCGTTTCCTCCTGCCACACCACACCTCCAGGCTAATTCCAGGATAGTACCCTCAAATTATGTCAGAATTCACTGGCTTTCTAATTTATTCTTCATTTATCAGTTTACAGTGGAACCCCCATTTAATGTTCCTTGATTGAAGGTTTGCATTCCATTCCAGTGAACCCAAGTCAGCCATTTCAGTGTTAAATTGCCTCCATTTAAGGCTTGCTTCAGTTTAGTGTTGAAATCCACTACTCGGAAAAAAAAATATCTGAGAGGAAGTTTCGCTGTTTGGTTCGACATTGTATACCCTCAGCTACTGATGGTTTTGTTAAATTAACCATTAAATACCTACATGTGAAAGCTGCTTATTGTTCTGGACCGAAGAGAGAGAGTTGGCGCTGAAACTGAAGATGAAAGTTCTGCTGGAAAGGGGTGCACACGTTTATTTGAGAATATGATTATGTTCCTTTCATTTTTGTTTTCTAAATGCTAGAAGAGTTACGCTTCAAAGAGAATGCCTGTGTATCTTCTCTTATTCTGAAATGAAAAACTGAAAGATACAGTGAAAATTACTCAAGTATGTACAGCGAACATTACCACGCATGTTGCAAGTCATTTTGCTGGCTCTTACCTTTGACTTCTGCCTTAACATGTCTTAACCTCAAAATTAATTTTTTCTCTATGAAATATGAGGTTCTCACAACAGTGAAGACTGAAAGTGAGCCATTGTGGGATGTGACAGTGCATCGTGTGGTGTGTCGTTGCCTGTGTTCGAGAGGAACTTATGCCCTCTGACTTCCTCTGAAATGTTGCCAGACATCTACCAGATTACATGGAGTCATGTCCCAGATTGTGACCCTGGGGTTTGCTCTGTACACAGATGGCACCTTCAGAAAGAAGTCCACAACTGTTACTTTAAGCATATGAAATGAATATGACCATTTTCTTGATGCTCTGTGTGTGTACATTAGATTGCAGATGTGCTAACAGATTGTCGACCAATCCCAGGACAGCCTGCATACTTGTACCATATCAGCATGGTGCTTACCTGTCCTCTTCCTGAAGAACAGAATACAAGAGGCAGAAAAATTTATCCTCCTGAGGACTCACCCCAAGGCTTTGGAATCCTTACACTCAAGCAAATTCCTAAGGTAAGGAAGTGGAACACAGTCCGGCGCATTGCGTTGTGACATTGTGCAGTTATAGTGATGTAACAAGGCATTTATTTGTGTGACTCTTGAATTTTTAAAAAGATCTTAATTGAAATGTTCATTTTTTAGTCTCAAACTTGCAGAATTCTGAGGCAACTGAATGCTTTCTCCAATACCGTGGCACACTTCAGTGCACTGTGAGAAAGTATTATGGGTTGAAATTGCAGTGGAAAAGTCAGTTTGGTAGAAAAATGTTCGTCTTAATGATGAACATTTTTCCAGATTCTTGTCCTGATCTCATCTTGAAGTGAGAAAGTTATACAGAACTATTGAGTTTGGAAGAGAACTGCAGGAATGTGACATAGTTTCATTCAATAAATCATTTGTTAATCATGCTACAATACAAGTTACCAATCCGATGGTTTGATGAGTTCAGTAACTTATGCCACCATAAAGCACACTATAAATATAACTCTGCAGTTCTATTACTTCAGGGCTGGCTGCCTCAGAGAGACAGATATGGGTGTGGATTGGTAATTGAAGTTATCAGATGCTCATAACTCGTAACTCTAAATGGTGATAACAGTCTCGCTGATTTACACACTACATAAATCACCACAACTACAGCACACACAGAGTCTTCAGTTCATTCTTCTATATTTACTAGTAGTTGGTACATCACGGCTGCTAACACTGGAGATTCCTGACAGCCCACCATGAACTGCCACTGCTGACTTGCAGCTCATAACTACTAACCATCAACTCCGCCCTCCAACTGGCTTTTCCAATTGGGACCGCATTGAAAACACTGTGTCCCCTATTATTGTGTCAGCATCTGTTGCTGCAGAATTGTGTTTATTGTGCCATTGCCCAGCAATGGCCATATCTATTTGTTTCACTATTCCAGCTTTCAGCTGTCATGTTATGCATTGTTGGCAGCAGTGCATAGAGAGATGTGGTGACTCTAAACCATTGGGAGGTAAAGCGTGTTATTTTGCTTGTATGCAGAATGGAACACTGTCGTGTTCACATTCTGTCAAAAACTGTTGCATTTTTTTAAGTTCTTAACTGTTAATTACTAATTACTTCTTACTGAGCTGAACCTTTCTTGAGGTGCCACCAATTCTGCAGCTACTCAGGAATTTCCCGTCATTTTATGGAACTCGAAGGTTCCATACCATATTCACAAGAGCCCTCCACTGGTCCCTATCTTGAACCAGGTCAATCCAGTCCATACCATCTCATCCTATCTCTCTAAGATCCATTTTAATATTATCCACCCACCTACTCCTTCGTCTTCCCAGTGGTCTCTCTCCATCTGGCTTTCCCACCAATTGCATTCCTCTTCTCCCCCCATTCGTGCTACATGCCCTGCCCACCTCATCTTCCTTGACTTGATTGTTCTAATCACACTCGGAAAAGAGTACAAGTTATATACTCCTCACTGTGCAGTTTCGTCAAACTCCCATCACTTCATCTCTCTTCGATCCATATATTCTCCTCAAGACAAAAGGTTCTGAACTGAATGGTAGCAAGCATTACCCAAGTTCAGTCTTCTCTTAATTTCCTCCTGAATCTGGTTTTGATTTGTTATCATCGTTCCCAAATATCTGAAATGTGTCACATTTTCAAAATGTCTGTTGCCTATCTTTATGTCATGATTTTGCCCTGCATTTTGGTGATGAGACAGCAACATATATTTAGTTTTCTCAGTGTTTACTTCTAGACCAACCTTCTTACTTGCATCAGATAAAGTTTGTGTGTTTTCCTTTATGGTATCCATATTATAAACCATTAGATTCACATCATCGGCATAGGCCAACAGTTGATGTGTCCTGTTTAATTTCAGTCCCGCCTGGTTTCCCTGGACCTTCCTAATGGCATATTCTAAAGCAAAGTTGAAAATGAATGGCGATCAAGCATCTCTTATTTTTTTAGACCATTCTGGATAGGAAATTTATGAAACAAATGTTTACCTATATGGACTTTACTAAATGTTTCATTTAAACACATTTTAATCAGCCTAACTGGTTTCATGGGTACCCCTAACTCTATCAGAATATTGTACAATACTGCTCTCCTAACTGAATCATAGGGTTTCTTGATGCATATGAATAGCTGGTGTTCTGTGTCATTGTACTCCCATTTTTTTCTCCAATATCTGACAAACGCATAAGATCTGATGTGTAGTTGATCTGTTATGTCGAAACCCACACTGATGATCCCCAATAATTTCATCTATATATGGACTTAACATTAAGAGAAGAATATTGGATACAATTTTTTATCGCCCTTCTTGTGAACTGGTGCAATAGTAGACTCCTTCCACTGATCAGGCCCATTTTGTTGTAGGCTCAGAAATAGGAGAGAAATTGGAATACCAGGTGAAAGATGATCCAACCAGTTTAAAATTTCACAGCAGGCCGAAGTGACCTTGGTATGTTGGGAATAGTAGATCAGAGGAAAGTGCTGAAAATTTGGGAAAATTATATTACAGAACTATATGATCGACCTAATCGGCCAGAAACCTTGGAAGTGGAACCCAAAGAAGAAGTAGATACAGACGAGAAAGGACCATGTATTTTACAAAGTGAAGTGGAAAAAGCTATCAAGGACATGAGGAATGGAAAGGCTACAGGAGATGATGATGTACCTGGAGATGTGCTTAAGTTACTGGGAGAAGGTGGTTTGAAAACACTGACAAAACTAATAAACACCGTCCGTATATGAAACTGGGGAGTGGCCCAAGGACTTTACAGAAGTGACAGTGATTGCCTTAAAGAAAAAGACAAAAGCTACAAAATGCAGCGACCATCGCACAATAAGCCTTATTGCACATACAGCAAAGATAATAGCAAAGATACTTAAAAGAAGAATGAAAAGAAAAATAGAGGATGTACTTGGAGAAGATCAGTTTGGATTTAGAAGAGGAAAAGGAACCAGGGATGCAATTGGGGTGATGAGAATTATAGCGGAATGAACTTTGGAGATAGATGAAGAACTGTGTGTTTGCTTCATAGACTGGCAGAAGGCATTTGACCGGGTAAACTGGACCAAATTAATGCAGATCCTAAAAGAAACAGGTATCGATTGGCATGAAAGAAGATTGATTAGCAA